TCGATGATTTGGAAGAATTGGAAAAACAAAGGAGAATATTATTGCAACAGTTGGCCGCACATCACACCACCCAATGATCACTCCATCAATAGTAACAATACTTTACATATAAAAATCTCTGACATTTATTTAATTAAAATTTCGATTATAAACTTAATAAAAAAAATAATTTATAATTATAATAAATTTATAAATTATGTACAAAATATATGTAAACTCTTTAACTCATCAACTCTTTAAAGCCTTTAGTATATCCTCAAGACTAGCATAGGTTCCGGTGAAGAAGCCGATGATTCCCACCAGAAATATGGATATGTTTTTGGTTGAAAGTAACCACCAGTTGACTACAATTCATTATTGTTGTACACATTATCAGTATTTAGTTCAATGGCATAACAATTATCACACTAACCATTCCTGTCGTCCCATTTTGTGGCCATTTCTATAATCGGTGGGAATATAAGTGCCAAACAACTACTGGAAAGGGCGCCCACAAGTGATATGAATAAATCTAAAGTAACCATAATTAAAGATCATGTACTAAATGTCAACAAATAATATATTAAACATGTGTGATGTGTATAACTAACCTAATCGGGGAATGGCTGCGGCCAACGCGACTGAAAGCATATATGTTGACAATTATTGTTTGTTTAGAATGAGTTGTGGATAATTGACTTACACGTTGAGGCGACCAAAAAGGCACGTAATAAAAGTTCAACGAAACGGGTTTTTTTGGTATCGGCTTTGAGTTTGAAGCGGTACTGAACGGAAGGCCATATGATATTGAAGGGAACGTAAAACTGAATGGCATACGAGAGGAATATTGCCAGCGCAAACATCAGACGACACGTCTCGTAGAGGGGCTCCGCCGGAAGGTTGAGTGTTATAGAGCCCAACACTTTGTCGCCAAACTTCAAATATCCGAAAAAGCCGACAGCCGTGTAAAGGCAGGCGACAACTGTCATCCCTGTGTTCAACACACCAACAGAGCCGCCAAAAGAGTCGGGTTCTCTCATCTCTTTCTGAAGCGGAAGCACTAAACCGATGCCTTCGAACGCATAGATCGCTGTTCCCATATATAACGGAAATTTTCTTATGTCGACAATCGCTGGTCTCTCCCACGTGTTCGGTAACTCTTGGATTAGATTATAGAAGACTATAAACAAACCGGCAGTTTGTAACAGATTGGCCACAGCCGACGCTATTGATAGCGTCCGCAGACTTTTGATGAAATTGAGTGTAATTACGAATGGAAGCAATAATAACATATAGATGTGAACCTCCAGATCCACGCCATTGTTTGACAGACCTATTATTACCTGTAAATCATATCGTATTAATATTTATACAGTTTATGGACATGTTTTTCATTACTTGACGCAAATTTTCGGCCACAAAAAGTGCGTAAACACAACAAAATCCAAACTGAGTTATCAATAGAAAAATGGTAACACAAACGCCGGCGCTTTTGGCCAATCTTCTCAGTCTTTTTGGTCCCACAGAGAATGCTTTGATTGCCACCTATTGTTTACAATCATATGTTTATTATTAATTAAAATCAATTAAATTATTTGAATATCTACTATACCTCGTCGTAGTCTAAATTATTGCATCCGAATCTTTGGCAAAGAATTTGATTACAATTAATGAGAATATGCATACAATGAATGCATATAATGCCCATAATAGGGAGGGCAACCGTTCCCAACAGGATTCCCGCGTTCGCAAACGCACCTCAATATCCAAATATAACACAATTGGTTACATTCATAAATACATTTGATAACAATAAGTGGTGACTCACTCGGCATCGCCAGTATTCCGGTGCCGATATTGCCTTTGAGGAGATGCATCATTGTCTGCATGTTAGAGGTCTGAGTGCTCGGCTCTGGGATCATGTTTTTCTGTAAAACCAATTCCAATGCATTAACATTCATGTAATACTAATTACTGTAGTTATAGTTTGTATTTGAAAATCAATTCCAAACAAAATCTTTGCGAATAAATGGCAAAAAGTGAAGACAACAGAGAGTCAAGTGTCGAGACCTGCGTTTTCGCAAAACCGAATAAATCAGAGCCACTGCTGTCGTCCTCATTGTCGCCCTCATCACCCGATGAAGAGAATGGAAACACATCTTCGCAATGGTTAGTAATAAGCGGTCGTTTCTCTTCGTTTTTGTTCTTCAAAGGTATGACAATCACATCGGATATTACTTTTGAGACATCATTTGACTCCGACATCACAACACTGTAAAGACATTGCAATTTATAAATTAATTTAAGCTCACCTTAAATTTGATTCAATCCAAAGTAATACATAGGAAGGGGTGTATAGTGTGAGGGAGTAATTAAACTGATGCTTATAATAATGTAATGTATATTATTGTATGCGTAAAGTAGTTGTGTTCAAAACAAAAGTTTTATATTTAATGCGATTAAACCTCAAATTTATAAAATGATTGCAAACAGATTTGATTTGAAAAACAATACATTCAATTATTTGATTAAAATAGATATAAAAATAGTTGTATTAAATTATTAGAAAATTGTTGGATATTTATTTTAAACTGATTTTAATTTAAATTTTAATACAATAATCCATACCTCAATTTGTAGTATTTAAATTCAAATCTCAATTTAATTAATTTATTATAACTTATGCCTTGCAAAGAGGATGCAATGATTATATCACAAATTTGACAAAAAAGTATACAATAAAGTAATGTTTATTGCAATTAAGTTATGAAGCAATTGATAATCCGGTGACTACAGCATGAAAACCTTGACTTTAGTCAAAACATAAGATTATGTTTATTTAAATAACAGTAGAGATCGGTATTAAAGGAGTATTACTTTACTTTTACTATAA